CCCTACAAATTCATCCACCTCTTGTTCTAGTTGTTCAGCCTCCTCCGTAACATGTAGGATTCTCTGAATCTCTGGTGGGATGGCTGCAGAATTTGTTGAAGACTGGTCAGCAGCTTTACAGCCTGCCTCCTGATTCCCAGCCGAAAGCTTCCGATTTACATTGTCATACATTTGGGGCTGTGCACTGTATTGCACTTTGGAGTTTGAAAGGGATGGCTTGGCATTGAATGGAGTCGGCTTGTGATCATTCATTGTCCCAGAGAGCTGGTGATTGACATCAGAATAGTAGTTCTGCTGGTTTGCACTTTGCTCAGGTTTATCATAAGCAGTATCCTGCAATCAAAAGCAAAAAATCTTTAGGTGCCTTTCCCCTAATGCCAGTTTTTTTTAATCTCTCCTCTTGCATTAAAAAGGTGAGCAAGAAGAACCCGAGAGAGCTGGGAGGCAGGTAGCACTGTGACTGCCTTGAGGTGTTTGTGCCTAGAGCGTGGGGCAGAATGGGGTTAAGCATGACATTACTAGGGATCTGGGCTGCATTTTCTAGAGTGTCATGCACCATGATGTCATAATATGGGAATGGTGAGTCACCGAGTACTCATTACACCTGAAGAGGGCAAATGCTGAATGGATTTTGGCAAGAGCCTATTTGGATGTACTGGAGGTGACGCTCCTCTGCAGGGAGCACAATTTCTAACAGTTTCCAGATAGCAGTAACCCCTGTCCATGTAGCTACATCCTCCAACAGGGCTCTGCCAACACTGCTGCCTTGGTACCAAACCTCTGGGGAGCCATTTAATTCTTGATCAAACCCAAAGGAAGGGGAGATGAACCACCCCCCACCAAATGCATCACTTCCATGTATTTTTTGCTTTAAAAAATAAAAAAAAATCCTTAGAATACTTGAGTCTGCAAACTGACTCAAAGATTAATCGCACACCTCTTCACTGGGGGATTTCTGACAGCGTTAGCTGCTTCAGAGAGAAGTATTAGACAAGAGAGACCAGGTCTGACCCATTTCAAGCCATGC